TGTGTGTGTGTGTGTGCCTGTGCACGCTTGCACGCGTGTGTTTATTTGGGTGTAGATTAGATGTAAATACGTGCATTCTTAAAAATGCACAAAAACGCATAATACATACTTGTAGATGCACATAAGCTGTGGACACATTATGATCGATTAGAAAAAGCCCAGTGCACATTGTGGCACGTCGTGGTGGAATCAGGCGACTGTCAACTTCTGGACATTTAGTTGTTTGTGTAATCTTAAAGCCGGTTCATTCGATTCGTTCTTAATAAACAAGTACCCATCTGCCTTCCATAGAAGTCGAGATACTTGCGATTGAAAGAGGTGGGGGTAGCTTGGTTTCTGAGGTGAAATTAACAAGAAAATGGCCGCCAGGGTTTTGTCATTTTTATTGCTTGAGAGTCTGTCAAAACTGAAAATGTTCATACTTTATAGCAATACTGAACGTTTTTTGGTAAAATTCAGATGGAAATGTGGTTACATAATATGAACAAAAACAAGAAGTCAATACTAATTACCAAACGGGAGGGAAAATGCGTTTCCTCGATTTCATTATTTTGAAGAGCGCCTGGTTTCGACACAATGCTCCACATTTAATGTTTTTAGATAAACTTTATAGGAAAGATACAGCGATGGTCAACAGAGTCAATTAACCACCATTAATTGTGGCTTTGCAGCCTGTCCTCATCCAGCTAACTCCTATATAATCATGGCACATAAAACGTAAATATTTGGGTGGCTGTTTGGCATTGATACAGTACACTATCCCTCTAGCTTAGTGTACTAGAGTAAGCCACAAATAGGGTTTGGGTGTCTAAACGATTCACTCTATTATTCATTTGATTCATTATAACAATTAGTTAAAGTAAGCTCTAGCTATGTACCGAGAAACATTTGGAGCAACAGTACCGATTCCCAGGTCCAAAACTTGTAGATCTATGACAGCCATGCTTTTCCTGGTTTTCCCCCCAAATCTTCTATAAAATTTACAGAGACCGAGTTTGTTGCTGGAAATCTTGCAGTGACAGAATGTAGGGCCTAGTACATCTGAACAGCTGGCCGACAATTTTGAGGACGTGGTCACAAAGTAGATACAGCAAAACTGGCGCAGATGGAGAATAATGCATACTGTTTAATACCTCGTTATTAACTTATGGAAAAGAAAACGATGGCGATTATCCCATTTTTTTACGTCTGACTCGTGAAAAAGAAAATGCATCGTACGCAAATTTAATGTTTTTCGTGCTCCTCGGCGATCCGCTGGCATTTCTTATAATATTATGGATTTTCTATAATCTAGATTACATTTGGTTTCAGTTGTAAGAGTACACACTTATTATTCTTTTTTTTTTTATTTCTGGAGGTCTATTATGACTTTCCGAAAAAAAGCATTGGGTCATTTTAGTAAATAGGCTTATTCAAGAAAAAATGCCAGACTGTGATTTGATTTTGTAAACATTCTTCTTTCTCCTTTGACAAGTTCTCTGTATGCCCAAAATGATATATCAAAAAAGTGGGATAGGCCTATTATCTCTTGTTGTTTTGTTGTTGTTTTTTTCAAAGTACAAAAATCCAGACCGAAAACTTATGCAACGCCTACATTCTCACTGTTCAAAAAGAAAAGAGTTATTGATGTGCTTATGTATAATCCGGTATTCCCCGTGAAGGTTACTGAGACACACAATACATACCTCCTTTCTCTCGGGCCTCACTTTCATTCTAAAATAGCCAATAATTAATTCTTTAAGGCGATTATCATACCACTTTTGTTCTCATTATTATATAAACGGTGTCTTCCCATCGCTAAGTATTCATTTGCAGCCAGGTGAACTGACGCAGACTGGGTGAGTACCGTTTATAGGTATGAGGCGCCCTGTGTCGATCGGAGTCGGGAATCAAACTCGTCACGTTTTAAAGCTGTAGTCTAAGACGCCACATCGTCGTAACTTTGTTTTAGCCACAGTCAAAGGCTCCATGTCTTCGTAACTTTGTTTTAGCTCTAGTCTAAGACGCCATAATATCGTCCTAACATTGTTTTAGCTCTAGTCTAGGGCACCTCAAAAGGCGTAACTTAGTTTTAGCTCTTAGCTTAGTTTAGGGCGCCATATAGTCCTCCACGTCAAGGATGCTCCAGTGTGTTGTCCAAACCAGAAGCCAAAACACAATAAGTTGTCTATCTCTCTGGAAATCGGTACGGTAGTTCAAATAGAACTTCAGTTTTTACGTACTAATATAGCCATCATTGACAATTCCAATTTTCTGTGTCAACTAAAACATTTCCACTCCACTCCTCCCGACGAATGTCAGGTCTGATTGAATGTCTCTTGCGGGATTTAAGAGAGAGAGAGAGAGAGAGAGAGAGAGAGAGAGAGAGAGAGAGAGAGAGAAAAAAAGAGGCAGATGTGGTGCAAATGTCGACTGATGAAAAAAACACTGACCATACCTTTTGTCTTGACTGTTAATTTATCCCCAGACGTTCTAATCTATACTTTCGTTGGTTTCTTCCAGACCTACCTGCTTGTGATCACGTGACAGTTGAGCATAACCCAGCCCCATCATGAGAGACCTGCTTGTCTTGTTGTGTCTTCTGCCAGCGGCAATGGCAGCTGCTATTTCAGTAGAGGACGAACAACCCGAGTGTAAGTACACTTTTTAATGTAAGTTATTTTACTCCTATATCGACACAGTTTTGATCATTTGGAAAGCTGTACGTAGTTTTTGGTAATAAAATTAAAGGTTGCTACTTGTAATAAAGTTATAAGTAGCGTGTTATTACGTTACACGTTTCTTGTTATAACTTTGCATAGATTTGAAAAATAAATGTTATGTTCATTGGCTTACTACTGTAGCTAGGTGGAAATCTTTAACACGTTTTCATTTATATTTTTTTAAAATGTCTGTCCTTTTAGTTTGTTGGTGACAAAGATATCTAGTAGAAAAATATGTGGCGTTTGCATGATCAAAAACATATACTCACACCGACATTCACATAATATGACCATTGGCTCGACAGCTCTGACTTTGTTATTTGATCTTTGACTTCCACGGAGGATAAGGGCTAAGAAATTAAATTATATTTTAAACCTTCTGAAAATACTGAAATCTTAACCCTAATCCTAATTCTAACACTAAACCTGTCGCTAAATCTGACCCTGTGCGCTTTTAAAAAAGTCACTGTAAGTTTCTGTCAGACCTCCATTCTGTAGGTTAACCAAGTAGACAAGGCTGGTTTTGATACATCTAAAATTCGGTGTTTATATTATTGTCCGCCCCCCAACTGTCGGCAGGGCGAGATCACTATAGCTCCTCCGGATTGACCCCTGGCCATCAATCTCTCAAGCTTTAAGACGGTAAACAATCTTCTATTCTCTACCCCCAGACTGTACACCACCAAGCGATCGTGGAACTGGCGAAGGCGCTTTCACCCACTACTACTTCAACCAGGAGACCGAGTCATGTGAGCCATTTACCTACTCAGGTGAAGGCGGTAATAGGAACAACTTCCGCACAAGGTTCGAGTGCCGAGCAGCTTGTGTTTGTACCCAGGGAGCAGAAAGAGGCAGGCGCGAGAGGTTTTGTCACAATCATCATTACTACGACATCAAAGACGGCAAATGCAGGCAATACCGCTACAGAGGTTGCAACACTAAAGTTAACCGCTTCAGAAGCGAACGATCCTGCAACAGGAGATGTGCCATTGCACGCTGTTTCCTGGACCTGGAAAGAGGAACCTGTGATGACCGCATGGAACGTTACTTCTACAACGTCACGGCACAGCAGTGCGAGAAATTTAACTACAGCGGCTGCAGCAGCAACCTGAACAACTTCGATACAATGGAGGAATGTGACCAAAGCTGCAGCGAACCCATCAGGGAAATTGATATCCGGACCAAGCGTCACCGCGACTGTTACCTCCCCAAAAAGGAAGGCGTTTGCAATTCTAGCTTTGAAAGGTTTTATTTCAATTCCGAGACAGGTGAATGCGAGTCTTTCACCTACCGTGGGTGCTATGGTAACCTTAACAATTTTAAGACAGAGATGGGCTGTAGGGATAAATGCATGCCGCCACAACCACGATTAACATTTTGGGAAGAGATGGAATAGCGTACATTATTACTTAGCAGAGGTACATGTACTGACAGCAAGCTTGGTGCTGCTAGACTCGAGCGCATTGTATTTTTTTGTTTGCTCTATATCTTGTAATTTTAAATAAGTATTACTGAACACGTAGTGGTAATACTCTGCTCCCCCCCCCCCGGCCCACAGGACACCTCGAGGAAGGAGTGTAAAATGTCATCACGCCAACATGACCGACGGAGTTCAGCAATAGAGTTTAAAAAAATTTTTTTATAATAAATACTTGAAATACAAAGTTACAAGGAAGCCATAGAGAGTGTTGTCAATATGTATCAGATTATAAGGTCACTAAGCTTAGTGCAAAAGGAACACAAAAATAACTACATAGTTTAAGTAGTTGCTGTACAGTAGTCGGTTTCTTTGAAAGCAACATTTAAATTTGGAAAAGATGTTTATAATATGTTTGTTTTATTGTCAAATAAAATGACAGTTTTCGTTCTACTACTGGCATGTGTTTGTTTCTCATGGTTGTTAGTGGTACATAGCGAGGTCCTGCTTTTCTTCTTCCCTACTTCCCTTCTGTTGTTTATACATGTCCGTCTTTTTTTTCCCAATGATAAAAATAAAATGGTGAAATGGTATGAATAACGCCCACATCAACACTTTTAGATTATTTAAAAGGCGAGACCTCCGAGTTTTAACGTCCATCTCCAAAAGGATCAAGCCAAATGGGAAGTTTGTTGTCCAGTGTCCTTGGACAGACTCCCGCTCAGCAGCTAGCTCTATGTGCTTTTTTATTTATATTATTGCCAAAGCAGACCTGATAGCATTCTGAAACAATCGCATCTTGTTTGGGAAGAATGCAGTGCGAGATCCTTTTATATAGGCACTTAAGCACTAACATATTCTAACAAGATCGATCGCTGTCTGTACTCATTCTCACCTGGGTGAAGTGAGGAAAATTCGTGTAAAGTGCATTTCCCAAGATACAACGAAGGCTCGAACCCCAGAACCTGCAACTCCACGACTACCAGTCCGGTAGCCTAACCACTAGACTACTGACGTCACTGACCGTTATCCTGTTTATGTACTTCTCAAAATGAACTCTCCTGTCTAGAAGTACGGTGTTCGCCTTTTATTCAAAAGGTCCCGGGTTTGAAACCTAACATAGCGAAGACAAAATTTTATTCCACATTTTAATGTTATCCTTTTACACCCTTACCTCTTCTCTAGTGCTGTTCTGTCATCTGCTTTTATCACTACTTTCTTCCCCAGCCCCTGGCCTTTTCTGGACTCCTCTCTCCTTTATTCCTTACTCTATCTACTTAACTGGTGCTCCTGGCTCACCCTTCTCAACTCTTTAAGAACGCAGAGGACACATATATCCGACCAGGATCATGCCAAAGGCCAAGTTTCAGCGCAATTGAACCATCATACACAAACCAGCAACATTAATTTGTATATAATTCAGAGTATACACGCTGTTTTCTGCCTCTGTAAAGTTTAAGATAGGGAAAACAGAACTGAATAATCTGTCTGAATAACGTAGCCACACCCCTTTTAAGTGCCTCTAAACAGCACGTCTTTAAGCATTATCGCAGGACCAGAAAGCAAGTGCCCAATGAGTTAATAATGTCTTTCAGCCACACGAACCCTGATCTTAGTGTAGGTAGGATCGAACACTTAGCCTCCTAGGATAACAGAGAAAAATAATGGAAATCCCGGGTGTAAGTCGCCAAATACTTAATAATTATCTCTCCACTTGGGGAATCAAACTCACATCTTCTGTCAAAATCACATCATGATGACAAAATATTTGGCTGTCTATGGCCTGGTACCCATTTTCACCTGAGTGAAGTGAGGAAAATTCGTGTAAAGTGCTTTTCCCAAGGACACAACGTCGGGCCTGTCGAGGCTCGAACCCAAGAACCACAAACCCACGATTACGAGTCCGAAAGCCTAACCATTAGACTATTGACTCCACCAAATGGCTGTTATAATGTTTATGCACTTCTCAGAATGAATTCTCCTGTCAAGAAGTACGTTGTTTGCCTATCATTCAAAAGGTCCCAGGTTCGAAACCTTAATGCGATGACAAAATTTTCTTCTGTATAATGTTCTCCTTTCCCATCCTTTCCTGTTCTCTCATCTGCTTTCATCGTTACTTTCTTTCTCAACCCCTGGCCTTCTCTGGGCTCCCCTCTCCTTTACTGCTAACTCTTTCTATTTAACTGGTACTCCTGGCTCCCCTTCTCAACTCTTTAACAACACAGAGGACTCAATATATTATATTGTCGGTGTTATTCCCAAACCGGCTACATGCTGAATTTTCAATTTTTGTTTTATTTGTTTAATGAATGGTAATTAGCAGAATACGTTACACCAATAAGTATGAGGTTTGAAAAAAATAAAGAAATATGTTTTAATTGAGACTTTCCAAATCCGATAACTGCAGCTGGGGAAAAAGTTTCATGGCCCAACCAGCCATGTACGTAGCCGTTT